ATATCCATGACTCAAAGCATTTCTTAAACATGAACAGATGAAAATACTGTAAAAACCTAAAAGCCAGTATCTACTAAGGAAACAGTAAGAAGCTATTCTGTAACTTCAAAAGGCTTACAACAATTTTGATAATAACAAAATTTAGCACTCTATAATATTTTATTTGAAGTGTACTGAAAAATTTGATTAAAGTGAAATGTAATGATGTAAGATAATAACAGTGTTCTTAAGTTTAATATTATACTTTCTTAGTATTATTCTCACTATAATCACTGTATAATGGAAAAATTCTATCACAGTATAATTCTATGTAAATTTTCTAACATATAGTATAAAAATTCTAAAAGAATTATTTTACTGGTTATGAAGTACAGTGCAAAATTCTGGTAGCCATTGTTTCTGGTGACCTTATTACTCAGATCATAAACTCTCTTCTGTTTGTGGTACTGGGAATTAAACCCAGGGCCTCATGCACACTAGGCAAATACTACTGAGATACACCCTGTCTGTAATTCCAGTTCCCATTTCTGGCCTCCAAGAACACCAGACAAGTATGTCATGCACATTTAGGCAAACATGTGCATAAAAAATAGAAATTACTTTGTAAAGGCTCAGATGTTAAAGAAAGCAGACACACATTTTAAAACACATTTTAAATATAACTAAATAACTAAAGGAAGACACATTTAAAGATGAAATAAATAAGAATATATATATATATATATATAAAGAAAAAATATATATATAAAGAAAAAAGATCAGGTGAGATCAATAAAAAGCAGAAAATAAAATGGTGGTTTAACTATAAAATAATAACAATTGTCAGTGTATTAAAACTATTTTTTTGGTGCTCTATTCTCAACCACTGTATCTGTGAGGGTGTGTGCCCAAGCTCGAGTTTCAGCTTGTAATAAAAAGACCCTACTGTGTTAGCATCAGAAACAACAACAACAACAACTGTGTTTTATGAGACAAGTTGTAACACTAGTTTAAAATATAGTTTATACTCTGTCTATAAGAGATAAGCAATATATCTAAAGACACAGGTTGAAAGTAAAAGGATTAAAAAGGTTATGCGTTAGATATTTCAATGCCTCTATAAACAATAAAACAACTAGGAACATCATCAAAGGTATAGAGAATTTAATACCCTAAGTCTATAACTAACAAGCACATTTCAAACACGCCACCAATTTAATATGATCAAAATTACAATACTCACATAAGTATTTGTAGATGAGCATTTATTAAGATATTATTTATAGTATTTCAAAAATGTTTTTCTTTTATGTGTATGAATGTTTGCCTGCATGTATGCATACGGGGTGCTTAGATGCTTGATAGCCAGAAGAGGGTATCAGATTCCCTGGAACTTAAGTTACAGACAGTTGTGAGGCATCATGTGGGAACTAAATCTGTGTCCTCTGTAAGAGCAGCAAGCACTTTTAACTTAATAAGTCATTTCTACTGATCTGAAACATTATTAATAATATTTTAAAAGTAGAAACAACCCAAGTGTTTATCAATGAATGAGTATATAATGAAAATGTGATATATCCAGACAATGCATTGTTATTCAGCTATAAGAAAGTGTGAAACACTGATACCTACTAAAAAACAGAATCTGAAAAATTACTTTTTATAAATGGAGCCAATAAGAAAAGACTATAAATCATATTATTATATTTACATAAAAAGCTCACAATAGGCAAACCATTTATAGACGGAAAGTAGATTACTGGTTGCTTAGAGGTGACTACTAATGGGTAAAAAGATTCTAAAATTAGATTGTATTGATATTTATGCATCTCAAAATAAGCAAAAAATATTAAGATGTACACTTATGGGGATAAAGCTCGGTGGCAGGACACATGAAATATAAGACACTGTCTTGGGTGCTCTGGTCCTGGGCTTCTTATAGTCTTTTGTTTTAGGCTTTCTGACAACATATTGGCAGACACCATGTTTTTGAGAGACTGAAAAGCTTTCAGACTCTGTTAGCTCTTTGGGGGCCCAACTGCTGAGGCACAGTAGGACCTACTAGTCCAGGAATAGCCTTCTCTCTTTTCATTTTTTGAATAACCAAGTTGAGAACATTCAGATTGTTATCCACAGCATATCTCCAAACAGAACTGTGTTTCCTCTTTCCGGTTCTCCTTGGTTTTTATAACAAGAATGCCCCTTACTCAACAGCAAGTACCCTCTGCCATGGGTCATGACCCTTGCATCGTGGGAAAACCATATTTTCTATTTCCACCACTGATTCAGACTACATTACTACATTAATTAATTAATTAATTAAAAAAAGAAGTGTGCTGTATATGTCTGCTATGATCATTTGATGTATGATGTCATTTACTTCAGATATTTCTCTGTTTACTTGTTGCCAAAATGACCTATTAATTGGAGAGAATGGGGTATTAAAGTTATATAACATTTTGTGCTGGGGTTAATCCATGACTACATCTATTAGTATATGTTTTATGAAATTGAGTATAGCTGTGATCAGTGTTTATATGTTTAGAATAATAATGTCTTCTTTGTCTCTTGTGACTAGTTTTGGTTTTAAGTCTATTTTGTCAGTAGTCTTCCTATATACTATTAATGAACATGCTAAAGAGGAAATCAAGGAAACAATGTAATTTACAATTGCTTCAAAAGATAGCTCATAATAACTTTAATAAAGAGTGAAAGAACTCTACAATAAAAGCTTTGAGATACTGCAAAAAGAAATTGAAAAAGTACCAAGAAGGTAAAAAGACCTTCCATACTCATGAATCAGAAATAATATTGTGAAACTGACTATCTTACCCAAAGAAATATATAGATTCATTGCAATATCAAACAATAATATTCTGATTCCTCTTCACAGAAATAGAGAAAATTTAAATTCACTTGAAAGCACAGAAACCTTGGATAGCTACACAATCCTGAGCAAACAGAATATGGTTAGAGGTATCACCTCATTTCAAGTTATGTTACAGATCCAAAATAACAAAACCATCACACTACTGTCAGAAAACCAGACACACACACACACACACACACACACACACATATATATATATATATATATATCAATGGAATAGAATAGATGACCAAGAGATAAACGCATGCAGCTATAGCAATCTGAATTTTGACAAAAATGTGAAAATAACATATTGGAGGAAAACAGCCTATTTAACAAATGGTGCTGTGGAAAACAGATAACCACATAAAGAACACAATCGGATTTTTATCTCCCACTCTGCACAAACATCAAGTTCAAGTGAATCAAAGATCTTACCATGACACTGAAAACTCTGAAACTACTGGAGGAAAAAAAATAGGCAAAACACCTCAAGACACAGACATAGGTAAGGACTTTCCGAATAAGGAGAGAAGGCCAACAACTGAGAAATGAGACCTCATGGAATTACAAAGGTTCGACACGGCAAAGTAAACAGGTGACTAAAGTGAAAGTTCACACAATGGAAGAAAATCTTCGCCAGCAATACATCTATCAGAGGATTAATATCTAGAATAGATAACTTTAACCACTAACCACCAAGAGAACCAGTAACTCAACCAAAAGTGGGTTCATGCACTGAGGATTCTCAAAACATGAAAAATGAGCCAGCAGTGTCCTAAGGTAAGCACCCAGGCGTAAGGAACCACTCTACATGGTGGCAGAGTTGGTGAATGAGCTGGTGGGGAGCTACTGTGGACACTCATGTGCAGGGAACCACTCCATGAGGTGGAAGATGGACTTCCCATACCCTGGGAGGCAGAGCACAGATCTGAAAACTGTCAACCTCTAAGGAAGCACAGGGCTATGGAAGACAGCTCTTTGTTAAATACAAAGTGCACACAGGCTTAATTTGTCCCACTGAACCTACCAGCTATCTCCCCTCTCTGAGCATGTGGCTACCGAGGCCAGTCTAGGACACCCAACTAAGATAAAATTGGGGCCAATATTTTCTCACTTGGTGTGTTGGGCCCTGGAAAGAATGTTACTGTGCATAGCAGCTGAATCTTGGGAAAGGTTTTACTGATAGCCTGATCTCACAGAGGAAAATGACACCTCAACCCTAGTACATTGTCCTCTCCAGAACATTGCAAATGCCTCCAATGATAGAAGAAACTTGACTTGAATTTTATAAAAGGATTATTGGGTTCTTGGATCTATTGGTAGATAGTCATTGTTGGACCCCAACCTGTGTGTGTGTGTGTGTGTGTGTGTGTGTGTGTAGCCAATAGATTGTGGGTTGGAAATGCCCCATTAATTCTTTAAAATCAAACAGAAAGTGATGATCATGTGACTAGGGATGACTTTCTTTGATTTGAAGGAGGATGAAGAGTTGAAGGTGTGTAGGAGGTGATAATGCTGTTAGCCCCTAAAGAGGTAGGTTTAAGAAAATAAGAGTGGAGGCAGGTGTAATGTGTAACATCTATAATCTCAGAAAGGCTGAGGCAGAAGGACTTCCGTGAGTTTGAGGTCAGTACGGTCTACAATTTGAACCCTTGTCTCAAAGAAAGCCATTAAGAAAGGAATGGAGAGTTGAATTTCAGGCAAAGGTAAGAGATTCTGTCTTGTTAGACATGAGATAATGATGACATATTTAAGCAAATGTAATTGAGTAAAGAAAAGCAAGCTAAGTAAATCAGTTCACTGGGCTATCAAAACCCAAGAAACGGATGAGTTCCTCCATAGCAAATGTGTGAAAGGAAACAGAAGTGGAGGAAACATTGTAATGGATCATATATAACCACAGAGAAACAATGAAGTTAAATATATTAGGAATGACTGGTCCATGGTAAGGAACATCTAAAAAGAAAAACAAAGCCAAATGTAACCTCTGCTTAGGAAGGGATTAACCAGTGTAAACTTTTGAAATCAAGATACTTTCAGAATAAAGGAAAAGATTTTTTAGGTGGAATAAAAAGAAATGTGTCAGGGAAAAGAAATCTACCAAACAGCACACTTAATCCTCATCTGTTCTTTGAAGTTTGCACATTACCTGTTCGTAAGTTGTTCTGCCTTTTTTTCCCCTTGCTCTAGATCAAGCACAGCTGCTACAAGTAAACACATTTTCTGTGCAATCAGTAGTCCTTGATCAGAAGGACAATAGGGGAACAGCTGATAAGAAATAACCAGAACATCAGTGAAGCGTGAGAATTCTGTCAGGTGAACACAATCAGAATGAAAATCAGCAACATCTTGTCTGAATGAAAACATTCTGCTGGAAAACCACATGTTGCCATAAAAAGGATACAGACTATCACACTGATTTACAGTTTTGATTTTATATTACTTTTCATTGTTTTTAACACCTTCCTAGAGGTAAAAAGCTTCTCTTCCTCAGTTTGCTTTCTCAATGACAAGTACTGTCATTTGGCCCTGAATGCCGATCTAGCAATTTACTGCTTGGGTGATGCTGTCATTTATAGGTTATTTCCCCCCTGGGAAGTGGTTTTTTCTTTGTTCTGAGAAAAGCCCAAATCAGTACTTAAATTGTTAGGCCTAAAAGGGACAATGTCAAATCCTGACAGGCATTAAGCATAACCTCCTCATTAAACCTTGTCCTCTAGTTTTAGGAAATACTCAGAGCTTTGTACTATAATAAAACTCTAGGCCACTTTGATTTCTACATGTCAGTCTTGTCCAAGCATTATCACAAATGTCAGAACTAAAATGGACTTATCTCACGTAATTAAAAATACATTTCTACATAAACTTGCAGACTTTTTTTTTTATACTATTACTGGTGATTGAGCCCAGGACCTACACACACTGGACAGGTATTTAACCATTCCACTGTATCTCCAGTCCTCCAAAGATTTTTTTTAACCTCCCCAAACACTTACAGATAACAGCCATGACCTCCACTGAATTAGCAGCATTTTAAATTGTCCACTCTGTTTAGGTCTTGGGTTACTCAAGGTGAGGGAACTTTGCTCTTCACTTCATTCCAGCTCTAAAACTCTGCACATTTAATTGGTCTCCGTGTGTCAGACCATGATAATTCTGAATGCAGATGAGGTATATTCTCTAACCCTCTGCTCCCCTTCCCCCACCGGCACTTGAACCTCTTTCTAACTTTCTAATGTCTACTTTGGAGGCAATTAACTATTCTTAAGTGCTTACAAGTGAATAATAATAATTTCACACATTCTTACATAGAGAACCTGCTCTAGGAAAAATAAGAAAGGAGGCTCAACCTTCTTATCTCCCTTTTCAATCCCTGCTGCTCATAGGTATTTATACTACATGTCAACACACTTGTATGACCTTTCCTAATGTGTTGGTAGCTGGTTAACATTGGAGCATGCCCACTCGTATGTGCCAATATAGGACTCTGAAAGACGAGAGACCTTCAAAGGCAAAGGAATAGGTCTGTAATGGTAGGCTCTATAATAAACATTTGTGATGAGATTTACCTTATAAGAAACCATGGAAAGCTTTTCACTGTCTCTGAGATTTCAGAGCTAAGTTTCAAGCTAAAAGTTAACATGAAATAATACAATTGTGAGACATCAACTGTTTAGTCTGTCTTACCATACTCTCTACTGTAAACATTTTTAATGCTAATATGCTGGTGGTGGGGTTCCTTCTCGGGATTAATCATATTTTAACTTAAAATTTAAATTTAAAAGAATTAAGTCAATAAATTATTTTGTTATCGAAAAAGGAAATTGACTTTATGTTTGTGAAGAAACATTGCCGAAAAATTTAGTGATTCCTTTCATATCTAATCGTCCATTCTAAACCAATAACACATAAGGTACTACTTATTTTTATTTAAAGATTGAGATGTACAAAAAGAAATCACAGTAATAAATCTATCTATCCAACTTTTTATCTATCTTTCTTTCTATCTACCTGTAATAATAACAAATAAAAAAGTGGCCATGAATTTGACAGGGGAAGAGATGTTTGTGAGGCAAAGGATAGGAGAGGCTGGAGGTAGAAAGGGGAGGGGTAAATGATATCATTAATTTTTGTTTTTATTTATTTTTAATATATTTTTTATTTATTACTATTTATTCACTTTGTATCCCAGCTGTAGCCCCTACCCTGGTCCCCTCCAAATCCCACATTCCCACCCTCCCTTATCTCCACCCATGCCCCTTTCCCAGTCTACTGATAGTGGAGGACCTCCTCCCCTTCCATCTAATCCTAGCCTATCAGATCTTATCAGGACTGTCCTTCATAGTCTTTCTCTGTGGCCTGGTAAGGCTGCTCCCCCTGAGGGGGAGGTGATCAAAGAGCCAGCCACTGAGTTCATGTCAGAGAAAGATTACTAGGGAACCCACTGGGAGACTGAACACAGGCTACATCTGTGCAGGGGTTCTAGGTTATCTCCATGAATGGTCCTTGGTTGGAATATAAGTCTCAGAAAAGACCCCTGTGCTCAGAATTTTTGATTCTGTTGCTCTTCTTGTGGAGCTCCAGACCCTTTCAGGTCTTTCAATCTCCCCCTTCTTTCATAAGTTTCCCTGCACTCTGCCCAAAGTTTGGCTATGAGTTTCTGCATCTGCTTTAATACCCTGCTGAGCAGAGTCTTTCAGAGGTCCTCTGTAGTAGGCTCCTGTCTTGTTTCTTGTTTTCACCTTCTTCAGATGTCTATCCTGTTTGCCTTTCTGAATGAGGATTGAGCATCTTACCCAGGGTCCTCCTTCTTGCTTAGCTTCACCTGATTCTTGACAAAGATGCCAAAAACATACAATGGGAAAAAGATAGCATCTTCAGCAAATGGTGCTGGTTTAACTGGATATCTAAATGTAGAAAAATGCAAATAGATCCCTATTTATCACCCTGCACGAAAGTAAAGTCCAAATGGATCAAAGACCTCAACATAAAAGAAGAAAAACTAAACCTGTTAGAAGAAAAAGTGGGGAAGAGCCTTGAACTCATTGGCACAGGAGACAACTTCCTGAACAGAACACCAACAGCACAGGCTTTAAGATCAACAATCAATAAATGGGACTTCATGAAACTGAAATGCTTCTGTAAAGCAGAGGACACTGTCATCAGAAGAAAATGACAGCCTACAGATTGGGAAAGGATCTTCACCAACCCTATATCTGACAGAGGGCTAATATCCAGAATATATAAAGAACTCAAGAAGTTTAACACCAACAAACGAAGTACTCCAATTAAAAATGGGGTACAGAGCCAAACAGAGAATTCTATAGGAGAATATCAAATGGCAGAGAATCACTTAAAGAAATGCCCAACATCCTTAGTGATCAGGGAAATGCAAATCAAAATGACCCTGAGATTTCATCTTATATCTATCAGAATGACTAAGATCAAAATGACTAAGACAACACATGCTGGAGAGGCTGTGGAGAAAGGGAAACCTTCCTCCATTGCTGGTAGGAATGTAAACTTGTACAACCACTTTGAAAATCAATCTGATGTTTTCTCAGACAACTAGGAATAGTGCTTCCTTAAGATCCAGCTATACCATTCCTGGGCATATATCCAAAATATGCTCAAGTATACAACAAGGACATTTGCCCAACCATGTTGGTAGCAGCTTTATTTTTAATAGCCAGAATCTGGAAACAACCCAGATGTCCCTCAACTGAGGAATGGATACAGAAATTGTGGTACATTTACACAATGGAATACTACTCAGCAATTAAAAACAAGGAAATCATGAAATTTGCAGGCAAATGGTGGGATCTAGAAAAGATCATCCTGAGTGAGGTATCTCAGAAGCAGAAAGACACATAGGGTATATACTCACTTATAAGTGGATATTAGACATATAATATAGGATTAAAATACTAAAATCTATACACCTATAATTATATTTTAATTAAAAATACACAAAGAAGAGTTACCAAGTGGTAAATGAACATCACCACCTCATCACCTGAAAGTGGTAAAAGGAAGATAGAGTTTAGAAAGAATCAGAATACACTAAAACCAATGGTTAGAGAATGTCTGGAAGATTTCTTATCTTCTAATGGTTAGTAGAAGCCCCAACTAAGCAAACCAATGTGAGTGAGAAAAATGCCTCAATCTTTTCAAAATGTCAGAGTCATTAAATTTTTCTATATTTTAAAATGTTTATTTTCCCAATTTCTTAGAATTCACACTATTTATTACCTTTGCCTAGGGTAAAGCCTCAGGAAATTCCATAAAACAGGAAAAAGTTCAGTCTTTGATAGTGTTAATAATAGTTTTTAACTATCTCCGTATTTTAATATCATTTTATTAATTAAATCCCAGAATAAGAAAATGATGTAATTCATAATTATGCCACTTAATGAATTTTAATAAAATGAACATATATCTATAGCAACAAAGATTTTGTCCATTACCAGAGAACTGCATGGTCCCTTCAAGTCTAGGCTCCCTTCTTATGGCAAATATAACTTCTTTCCTTCAAATTAATTTCCCTCAAATTATTTTCCTATTAATTACATGCAAAAGTCATAGCAGCTTCTCCACACATGAATATAATACACTTTGATCACATTTTCCCTCTTTGTTTTTCTTTCTTACCTAGGGTTTTTCTGTGTAGCCTTGGCTGTCCTGGACTCACTTTGTAGAACAGGCTGGCCTGGAACTCACAGAGATCTGCCTGCCTTCCCCCGAGTGCTGGCTCTTTCTTGCCTCTTAAACAGATCACTATTTTGATTTCTAACACCAAATCAGCTTTGTGTTTTTTCACCTATGTGGCAACTGAATCATTCATTATGTACTCTTTAATGGATGTTTTTGTTCAACAAAACATGTTTCTGAGATGTATCCATATTGTTGCATGTAGTTTATTTTTGGTGGATCACATCAAAGAATATATTTAGCTTTCTACAGCAGGTTTAGGAAAATAATTTGGGAAGCCAAAGTTATAATTCATCATTTTGTTTTTTGATCACTCACCATGGAAAAAGAAGATAATAAGCATAGAATACTTTATGTGTGATATATATATATACATACACACTGTTTCATATATAATCCTCAAATAAATGATCCTACATAAGAGATACATGCAGCCAGGTGTAGTTTGGTGCACTCCTGCAATCCCAGTATATTGGGACGCAGAAGCAGGCAGATCTCTGTGAGTTTAAGGCCAGCCTGGTCTACAAAGTGAGTCCAGGACAGTACACAAAGAAACCCTGACTTGAAAAGAAAGAGAAAAATATTCATTTCTATATTATATACAATGAAACAAAGATTAAGCAAATTATACATGTATACTGTAGGTTCCAAAGAAAGAGCCCACCTCTGGCTCTATTATGCTACAAAGCTTTCCATGCCCAGATTTTTCTTTGACCTATTTTCCTAAACCAGTTGGCATCATTAATCCAAGAGTCCAAAGTTGACATTTCTTCATCAAAATGCTGAGAAAATTGCAGGAGTGCTGTATGAAATAGAAATATATTATATGCTAGCAAAGTTTTTTTTAATTAATTTTTATTTTTACCTTAATTACATTTTATTTGCTTTGTATCTAAGCTGTAACTCCCTCACTCATTCCCTTCCAATCCTACCCCCCCCCCATCTCCTTCCCTTCCATCTGACCCTAGCTTATCAGGTCTCATCAGGACTGGCTGAATTGTCCTCCTCTGTTGCCTGCAAGGCTGCTCCTCTCTTGGGTGGGGGTGTCAAAGAGCCAACCACTGAGTTCATATCAGAGACAGTCCCTGTTTCCCTTACTAAGGAACCCACTTGGATACTGAGCTGCCACGGGCTACATCTGTTGGGCAGTGTGCAGGGAATCATATGAAAGAAGAGGGAGTTAGTAAGACCTGGAGAAGACAGGAACTCCACAAGGAGAGCAACAGAACCAAAATATCTGGGCACAGGGGTCTTTTCTGAGACTGATACGCCAACCAGGACCATTCATGGTTATAACCTAGAACCCCTGCTCAGATGTAGCTAGCAAAGTTTTTAATCATCCTTTTAAAACAGGATGAATCCTTCTTTCTAGGTCTGTGAAGAATTGTGTTGGTCCTCCACCTGAGGGGCGAGAAACCTTACCAGGCCACAGAGGAAGACAATGAAGCCAGTCCTGATGAGACCTGATAGGCTAGGGTCAGAATGTAGGGGAGGAGGACCTCCTCTATCATTGGACTGGGAAGGGGCATAAGAGAAGAAGAGGAAGGGAGGGTGGGATTGAAAGGGGATTGGGGAGGGGCCTACAGCTGGGATACAAAGTGAATAAAGTGTAATTAATAAGAATAAAATTAAATTAAAAAAAAGAATTGTATTGGGATTTTGATGGGAGTACATTGAACATATGGATTCCTTTTGATATGGACTTTTATGTGTATTTAGAAATGAAAATATCTTTTGAGCAAAAGGCACACCATCAAAGAATGTACAGCACTGGTAAAAAAGAAAAAGAAAAGAAAAGAATGTGATGTTGCTAGACACTAGTTTAAAGAAGGAGACAGGAAAGATTACAAGTATTTACAAGTAGGTAGAGGAGAGGAGATGATACAGACTTGTATAAATAGGTAAAATAAAAGAACAAACAATGCAAGTTAGATTAAGAAGGTACACAAAAATAGCAGGGTTCAGAGAATTTCATTTGTCTTAAATTCATTTTTGCATATTTAATCATGGGACAGGAAATTAAAAGGGAAGGATGAAAGGCAAGAAGAAAGAAGGAAGGAAGGAAGGAAGGAAGAAACACGAAGGAAAGAAGAATGAGGGGGACGAGGGAGAGAAAATGAGCAGGAAAGAGGGAAGTATCTTTAAAACAAATTATGATGAAATGGAGTTAAAATCATATTCAGAAGTAAATGCTAGTGATGACAAACATTTCCATTCTTATGGATACAGAAGCTATAATAGATCCCTATGGTAAACATTAATAAAGAGTATGAAGTTTAACTAAAATATTAGAATCAGTATGTTCAATATATTTGGAGAACTCAACAGAGGTTAAAGGCAAGAGTAAGGACTGAAAATAAGAAAGAACATAATTACCTGTATTCAAGTAAGTCAAAAGTCTATCCATTTCTTTCTTTCTAAAAATTAAAGAAAAATAAGTTTTTAATTCTTCTAAACCTTTACCACAGAAAAATAGCTGGAAAAAGATACTATTCATGTTTGAGAATTGGGCTAAAAATAACAAAAATGTAATACAGTTTCTAGTTCAATGATAAACCATGACTTCAACACACTTTTCTCCATAACTAGTGTCCTCACAGTTTTCTCTCTCGTTCTACTCCTATTCTTAGCAAATGACTTCAACGACTGATAAGGTTTCATATTATGTTACAAGGTCACAATGTTTCAGAATAGGTAGTAACCTCTATGATTTTTAAGTTCTGAGACCTTTTAACATTTTTATTTATTTTATATGTATGTATATCTGCCTTCATGTACCACATGTGGGAAGTGCCTTCAGAGGCCAGAAGAGGGCATCACATTCATTAGAACTACAGTTACAGGTGGTATGAGTAACTGGGAAAGGAGCTTAGGTCTTCTGCAGGAACAAGTGCTCTTAACTGCTTACCCATCTCTTCAGGCCCTCTTTTTGTTTGTTTCTTTGTTTGTTTTAGGACAAGAATTTAAATCTCTGTTTTAAGTAAAACTGTATAAGAGTTTAATATCTAAGAAAAAGCAAGGCTGATGGTGTGGCTCAGTGTAGTCCTTTAGATTTTGTCTTTAGCACTGAAAAAAGTGCAGGTGCTCTGAGTAAAGCAAGAGTAGATAGTAGACTGGTGGACTGGAATCTCATCTTTAAGGAAGTGCCACATAATTTCCAGCATTCTGAGAAAAGACATCTACCGAAACCATTTATCTAATACAAACTCATTTTCCAGTTGAGGAAACACACCTCATAGCAGGGGATGGTTTGCATATGGTGACACAGTGACAAAGTCTTCTTCCCTGATCTTTTAATCCTCTGCCAAATTTGCTTAAGGGATTAACAAATTTTAACAAAGCATTTTGGCTTCCCATTCTATTTTCAGGAGACTGGAAGTTGACATTCTGAGCTAACAGGTAAAAAAAACAAAACAAACAAACAAACAAACAAACAAAAAAAACAGAGCAGACTGAAAAATCAACAAGTCTTCTTGAACCCATAACAGTAGTGAGGAAAAAGGCCAAGTTATTGCCAAAATGACTGTTGAAGTGGGACGGGGGATTACAGTGAGATATGGGCCAGAAACTTGGGCCTGGAAATGACATTGGAAATTGATGCCTTAGTGAGAAGACCTCTGTGGCTGACAAATCACTGATGCTTATCCCAGACAAGTCTCAGAAAAACTCCAAGCTGATCTATTGATAATGAGGCTTCAGCACTTACAAAATTCAGCGTGGTAGTTTGGCTGTGTTCACAGTCAGCGTTGGAAAAAAATCCTTTCATGTTTCCTGCAAGGATGGAGAAAAGAAATAGTTTTGAAATATTCCATGATACCATGTTCTTTAAAAATATTTATTTTTATTTTGCGTGTATGGATATTTTGCTTGCATATATGCATATGCATCATACATTTGTTTAGTGTCCATGGAGGACAGATGAAAGTGTCAGATCTTCTGGAACTGGAGTTATAGATGCTTATAAACTACCGTGTGGGCACTGGGAACCGAACTCGGGTCCTCTGAAAGTATGCGCTCTCTCCTAACTGTTGAGCCACTGCTCCAGCCCCTATGTCCTTTTCAAGATTATTTTTTTACTATTGTGTAGGGATACACATGACCTGGTACATGGCAGAAGGTGAGAGGACAACAGTGTGGAGTTAGTTCTCTCCTTTCCCCTCTATCCAGAAACAAAACTCGGGCTGCTAGGCTTGCTTAGCAAGTACCTTTCCAGGCTGAGCCATTTTGGCAACCCAATACTGTGTTCTTTTAAAATAACATCTGCCCTCTAAACAAACTATTTTACCAGAATTCAACTTCAGCCCTCTGGTGTATTGCTACAACTTCAGTGGAAATAGCTAAAACCAGTTCGCTTTAGCTACCTTGTCCATATAAAAAAGGAGAGGAAACTGTAAAACAATTTCCCTCCCCTATAACTTTCCATCATACAGCTAAAAAGCCTATTTGTATCAGTTCTTTTAACATGTTCTATCTTAAGGGAATGGAAAAATCATACTAAAAGGCAAAAATTAATTTGGGAAGACAGGGCCCCATTAGACAGCCATGGCAGGGATGATAAAATGATCAGATTGGGAGTGTGTGTGTGTGTGTGTGTGTGTGTGTGTGTGTGTGTGTGTGTGTG